GCCAGAGCCACTTCGTTGCCGAAGCGGCGACGCGATTCTTCGCGGGGTCGGCAAAAAGGGCGAGGGACGCATGCTGTCTGTGGTGATCTTGCGAGTCGCCTGACTCTTGCAGCCGTCTCTTGCTCCTGCTATTTGGTGTTTCAGCGGGCTTGGACATGCTGCGACTTCGCGCTCTCAGTGGCGAGCAGCTTCTTGTCGTGGACCCACGGGCGCAATCGGTGCCGGGAGGAATCATGTCTGACCTTTTGGCTTTAACGATGGCCCGTCATCTTGGAGTGAGGGAGGATCGCGTGGAGATTCATTCCATGGACGAGTCTCGGCCGATCGGCAGGTTGAACTCGTGGTCGAGTTTGGAGAACTTGCTGGCAGGGCGCGATTTGGATGTTCTGGTGCTGCTGCGACCCTTTCGAGTCGGCGGTGGTCAGGAGCTCACCTTCGCCATAGAGTGCAGCGAGGCGTACAGCGTGGATGAGCTGCTTGCGAGCTGGGTGGATCCGAACGTCGAGGTGCCGCGCCGTCGCACGGACCCGGTGCACTGGACACCTCTTTGTCTTGCTGCACAAATTCCTGGCGATGGCTGCTGGATCGTGGAGAGCCTTCTCGAGGCACGTGCTGCGTTGGAGACGGAAGGAACCACCGCTCTTTGCTGCGCTTGCAGAGCGGCAAACGTGACAGTGGCGGCCCTTTTGATCTCTGTTCGAGCCGATGTCCATCGCCGAAACTGGCGGAGGGATTCGCCTTTGCTCATTGCCGCGTCGATAGGCTCGAGGCCCTTGGTGCGGCTTCTGTTGCGAAATGCGGCGGACGTCTCCCAGGAGGATAACAGAGGTCGCGGTCCCATCGAAAGGAGCTTCGAGGAGTCTTGGATCGATCCGGCCGTCTCTCTTGTGCTAGCCGGAGCAACGGTGCGACCTTACACGGACAACTGTCATCTGCTTCATGCAGCCGCTGAAAAAAGGGGCAGCCACAGGTGGGTGACGTGCTTGGTGCGGGCGCGAGCCAGCCTTCAGGTTCGTGACGAACTCGGGCGTCTTCCGCTGGATGTGGCATTGCGCCGGTCTGGCTTCCTGCGCCGTGTCCAATTCAGACGATGTCTTCGTGCCGGGTTTCGAGCCGAAAGAGGACC